ATTAATCCCGTCTACTAAATATTGTCTCGGCCAATCAAAAAATATCATGCACGTGCAGTTTGGTACACATTTCCATTGTCATCGCGTAACAGAGTCATGCCGCGATCTGAAGAATGTCAATGTTGTTCAGAATTTGATCGAAGCATCTATTTCCACCTAAAATAGCCAAAACCATAAACGTTTGTGATGAGAGAAAGGGGGGCTATGGTAAGTTGTGAGTTGACTATTGTATAAATTTTTTAAAGTTTACACAGAAGATTATAAACACATTTCCCCTGCAGAAATTTTAACTGATAGCTAACATATCAATTCTTGTTAAATAATTGTTAAAACCAAGTCCACAGGCCCCAACATAAAGGAAGCTTCAAACCCCAGAAAAAAAAGCAGGGTGAGGTCCCAACCCACTTGCAATCCAAGGGCCTCCACTCATCCAGGCCCATATCTAGCCAGTGTCTCAGGGGGGCCAAATTTTTGAAGGGGGCTCAACTATATCGACTCAGCAAGTCAGGTGCTCCCCCCCTCCCCCCCTCTTAACCCATCGCTAGTTACAGGCCTGCACTCATCTAGTTGATCAACTGAATTGAAATCTATTAATATCTGATAGTAAGACTAATGTGATGATTACAGAAACACTGGTCCATGTCTTTATACCTTGATTTAATTTTTCATGAGAAAAAAACTTTACAATACTTCAAACGACTGCAATTTAAATATTTGAGTACAAAAGCTCGAATGAAACCTTAAATTAGAATTGTTTTTGCATTGTTCACAATTTTTGTTTACAGTTTAAATGATGTATAAATTATTCAGAAATTTGTCTAATCAATGATCACGAAATTTGCCGTTTTGAAGTTAATTAACTTGTTTGTTTAGACAAAAATATTCCGAAGTTTATGCATCTTTAATGTGGGAAAGCTTTACAAAGTTAAAAGGGCATTGCAGAGTCCGACGCAGTCTGCAGACAAATTGTGGTGTAATGGAGTTTTACACCCTTTTTTCCAATTCTCATTTAGCTACTGAATACATGAAGTGTGCAAAAAAGGAAATTTTCCCATATCAGACACACTATTGTCTGAGCAAAGTAAAAAGTTTTTTTGGACTTTTCCCATTATTTTTATGAGAATTGGAATAGCAGCCTCAAAATAGTAGTTAGTTAGTCTAAAATGTCTTTTCGTGGATAAAAATATCAGCATAAACAATCATTTTGTCTTCACAATTTGTTTTTACAGAGGACAATATTAGGGCGACAATTTGTGACTTTTTTGGGTTGAAATTTCTAGGAGAGAAACTTACAAAATATTATAATCTTATCAACACAAAGACATTCTAAGACTAATAGTACTATTTTGAGGATGATATTCCAATTCTCCAAAAAAATATTGAAAAAATTCAAAAAACTTGCTCAGATAATAACTTGGCCTACTTGATCTCCTAATGTCATGGGATCAGCAGGATCATGTCATGGTACACAAAGGCCTTGGTTTATTGTCCTATCTTAATGCCTAGACTTTTTCCAGAAACCAGGTTAAAAATTTCAGGTATAATTCAAACCCCAAGATTTGCATTTCAAATATTTTATATCATTCTTTTAAACTAACTTCACAAACATTGCTCTATCACTAGAGGTTGCGCCTACATGCCTGTGCCTGTGCTTTCGTAACATTGCTTAACCGCAATGTTACATCCTAAAATTTCCAAGGTTTTTAGGTCTGTTAAACTGAGCTTCCTTCTATCCACCCAAATTGATCAGAAAATAATCTAGAAGTGCCCATTCATGTCTATTTCTATTGCTATGTAATAGACGAATGCTAGAACTGGGCAGATAATAAAGTGTGAGAACCGACTAACAAGGGTGTGATACTAACAATATGTAGAATGTAGTTTTATTAGTGTGATAATGCCTTCACAGTTTCTAAGATTCTTATTCTCACCTTGCTGATTTATTGGTTGCTAAGGAAGTACTTGGTGTGCTGGGTAAAACTGTCTTGTTTCTATGAGCAACAGTTAACTTATCCCAACCCCAAAAATCAAACCATTAGATCATGAACTTCCGAAATCCAAACAGGATTTCATGCTGCTCTCTTACTACTTCCTCCAACTTGTACAACTTATTGAATTGCTTTAAAAACTTCTTATTTCTACCAAACAAATAATCAACCACAGAAATTTCACATGTTCGGCTTGGACAATAAACCAAGGCTCAGTGTGCTACAGGCTGTGCATGTTAAAGATCCCTTAACAGTTGGAAAACGATAAAGAGTAGGCTAATGCCACTGTCCTGGTAAAATTTCCCTCATTGTACACTGCATGGCGTTGTCCAACTTTATTAGCCCACATGGTGCATAAAAGTAGGAAGTAAAAACTCCATTTCATTTTCATTTTACAGAAATGTCATCATGCCTGCCATTTTCATGAATGTTTTTCACCCGTGCTATAAAATCATGAAATAAGATGCAGCATGTCAGTTTTGGCAAAGAAAGAAGGGTGGATGGAGTGCAGCATATCAAGTTTTTACATCCAGTAAATAAGTCAATGAATACCGGTATATAATATTATTATAATAACCATAAATTGACATATTGTAACATATTATGAATGTGATTATGCACAAATCAATTTTTCAAAAACAAAAACAGTTCCGTCTGGGACTAAAGCATAAAAAAATAAATTGAGGTCACCAAAACTTACATGGTTTTCATGTCCATTTTCCATTTTTATGGTCAGTCATAAAACCAATATATTCTTTCCAGTGAGCAGTTAGCAATTTTATAAAAAAAACGAGGCTGGATATAGTGTGCCGATCATCTATTTGACACCCCTCCACTTTCTAGGGAACTCTTCCACAAATACATAATGCATTCTTTCTATCAATATGTATGGAACTGAATGTGTATGATTGGAATAGCTCATCTGTAAAACTAGGGGTGTTTTTGTTACATGTTAAATTATATCCAGCTTTGAAATAGTCAGAATTATTTCTGCAATGACTAGAGTAGCATACGGTAATAGTCATCGTGCAGGCAAGATGTCGAATATCTACTCATAGCATCTAAAAGACTGAAAATGCAGATGTTAACATAAAGAGTATATCAATAACACTATACATTATTTAACTCTAATTAAAACCAGATAAAACTTTCGTTCTGTTTTTTGTTGGATTTTATTTTTAATATAGTCACTTAAGTTAGGGTCATACACTGATGACCTCTGCTTTAACCAATCAAAATTTATCCCTGGAGTGGGTAGAAATTTTAGTGGTTAAAGCAGGGGCAGGTCAAAAGGTTACTTTGACGAATATTCAACAGGCCCGTCTTAAGACCTTATCTGAAGGGGCTATATTAGAAATAACAGATACTATAAACAAAACGAAGTTGGGTCTAATTTTAATTAGATTGTATTCGACCAATATAAGAAGGATTTGACCTTTAACCTCATATTTCACAGATACTGTATAAGAAGTTGAATATTATAATATTAATGATTTGTCTCTGTCTTGTCAAACTGTTCCCAACTCCAGTAAAATATGATATACTAAATTCTCATGACTTAAGCAGATATATTAAACAAGACCAAACAAAATGCATCACTTAAAAGGCACATTATAAAGGATGGAATTATTATAAACAGACTTAGTATATCCCTTAACAAAAATGGACAACAAATATGGCAAGATCACAAAAAGCACCAATCACTAGAAATAAAATGGCAGTATTGATTTCAATATTATCTTAAAAAAAAAAAAAACTTAAACTTCTAAAAGACATATTCATCTTGACATCTTTTGATAACCAGTTTCGTTTTTTTTGTGTGTGATTTAACTCTTCTAGATGTTCTAGCTATGAAATGAAGATATATTCTATAATATACAACATATTGGAATGCAACAGAAAATACCCATATATCAGCAAAATATAAACAAAATATCTTAAAATTTCACAAATTCAAACAAAAAATCAAGTTAGATCATCTGAAGAATACATAACCATTGAAAAAATTCCAGTTTCATTAATTTTGTTTTCGTTCTCCATTGTAATCTTAAATAATTTATACCAAAGTCCCTTTCTGTTGATGTTCATTTTAACCAATCATAGTGCGTTATGCAGAATTTGAGTTTTAATATCGACTATGAATTATAGGATAGCTAAACCCAAGTACAGCGATATGACCAATGAGAATTCTGATACTGGTTTGTAAAAGTGATTCGATTGGTCAGAAAGTTGCTTGTGATTGACCGCTATTAACATCTTGTATTGAAATCAGTACACAACCTTGGTATAAATCTTGTTAGATTACAAAAGAGATCGAAAAAATAAGGAAACAAAATTATAATCTAATCTTAACAAGAGCAGTGTTTTCTGTCATTTCAGAGAAACTTGACCAGATTTTGACAAAATACCTACCAAGCCAAAATCCTCTCTGGAATATCTTTAGGATAAAGTTTCTATTTTTATAATTGCACTAAAAATTAAAGGGATATGGTCGTCTAAATATTTGCTTCACTAGTTATAAAACCTTAATTTAAGTTATCTGTAACACTTTTCAGAATGACAATTCAACATCTGGTTGGCATTCAAACAAAATTAAGTATGATATTGACCAAATCTAGATTTTTTCTGATGAGATGTTGTCAATAGTCTTAAAATTTAAGACCCTCATTTACTTCTGCTGGTTACAGAGGTTGATTAAATTGAATTGTTTAATAACCAGATGTGAAATATTTATTTTGAAAAGTTTTAACAATTAATGTTCTATAAAACCTGTAGCCAAGTAAATAATTAGCTGACTAAAGCCCTTATGAAAAGAAGACTTAAAAAATATTTTAAACCTAATTAATTTACATGTATTATGAATCATGTTGTTACTCAGAGTTTCACACTATGTGATCCTCAGACAACTGACCTATTTTCAGCCTAGGATATCATTAAATAATAAGTAAATACTAAAATTTCACTTGGGAGGTAAATACAATCATATATATTATGCCAGGGTTTGGACAATAAGCATAAAAAAGAAAAGATTTATAAAATGGTAGCTTAGATCGAGATTTCCAAGTCCAAGAGATCAGTAGCTACGATTTTATAAACATAAACAAGTGACCTTAACCAAATATTTCACAACAAACATATTAAATCATCCACGGTCCCTTTTTACTAGAAAATCTTGATTTATTGCAAGCATAGAATTTTACATAACCTGATTAAAGGTACACTACCTCTCAGAATGACAAAAGTATTGAAATTTTTTTAACTCCTCCAAAATGAGTCTATGTTCATCTCTGGACTTACCTGGTGTCATAACTATACAACAGAATCTCTCTATAATCTAATAAATCTATAAAAGTAATAATTCATTAAACTAGGTATTTTTCAATAATTATTCAGTTTAATGGATATATTGTCCTACATAGAGATTCTATTCTTTAGTTATGGTACCTAGTAAGTCTAACTGATGAATATATACACTTATTGACCAAGTTTGAGATTTAAAATTGAATGTCCCTTCGAACAGGTAGAATTCCTTTAAAATACAAATATGGATGTTTCACTTTATGCAGCAAAACACAAAATTAAATATGCACATCTGCATTCTAAAAAGATTGTAATTTTACACTATACTAGACAATTTCAGGCCAGACTCAGTTTTATCGAAAAAACCCTAAAATAAATTTATAAAATCCCCATAAAACAACGAATGCCAGAAATATTAAAATACGGACTTTCCAATGAGCTCTTGAGGCACAGAATCTTTTAAACCAATCAACAACCTGCTTTTCTGTCAGATCTCGTTCACCGCTATTGTCAATGACAGCAGCTGCTAAATGACATTTCTGGGTTAAAGGCATCTGTATGTCAATTCTATTTATAGCCTCTTCTCGTGTCAAATTATTTCGTGACATCAGACGTTTGATTTGTTGATCTGTAGAACTGAAAAAAATAATGAAAATGGCATGAAGAGATTTCTAATGAAACAAGAGAGACTTCAATATTTTAGAAAACTAAAAATTCGTCAGGTTCTAGACAACCAGTTGGACCTTGACTAGTCTGCAACATCTGCCCCTATTCCAGCCTCTGATAGTTATTTTGACAGTTATCAGCTGGGGTAGTGTAAAACAAAACTAGGCCCTGTTTTATGGGTATCTTCTGTCTCAACAACTGTCAAAATATAGCTATCAGAAACTGGAATATAGGCAGATGTTTTGGTCTAACCTCTTGGCATTGATCTTTCATGGAATTTCCAAAACCATTTGCATCTAGAGTCAGTAGAATAATAAGAAAATATACTTCTGTCAACACATTGACCAGATCATAAATATAACATGAAATTCAGATTTGAAGTCGAACATGACTGGCAAATTAAAAAGTGAATCAGTAACCCTGATACTCACCAACTAACAACCACTGTAAACGTCAAATATGGCAGCATATTCCCAGTTTCAAATAACAATGGTAAATCTAATATAACAAATTGGTGTCCTGAAAAACAAAGTTTAATGCATTCAAGAGAAATGGATATTTTAATTTAAAAGGTGCTACTGATAGCTGTGAGCTCTGTCAGCTAGTAATGCTAGGAGCAGACAATTGTATTTTAGAGCTTACATCACTCAAGAGTTTAATAGGTACACAATTCTATTCTGAACATCACATGATATCAACATCAAATCTACTTGGTTTTAGAAAAATTGATCGTCCAACAAAATGCGCAAGACTGAGAAACGAATTTAATCACAGGCGTAAATAACTCCGAAAATATTGAACATTTTTTTTTTGCTTGCGATTCATACAGGCATAAAAAATCTTTGTCACGAGCTAGCGCACGAGCGAGTTCGAGAAATTTGAAAATTTGCGACAATAGGGCCATAAAATAGACTCATCTGCTCCCAGCATAAAGCTGAGATGAAAATAATACAGCTGATATATGAAAAGGTAACAAACAATAATTACCAGTAATCAACAACCAAACACATTTCCAAATAATATTTTTCTGGATTTCAGGATGTGTGATAGAATTTAACAGTTTTCGTTTTTTATCATCATTAAAAATCACTTGTCCTAGTTTATCTCTATCTACACTACCATTGTCTAAAATAAACTCTTCCCCAAATATCTGTTTGATTTTCTTCCATGCTGGTTTACCTGGCAGTACCACTGAAATCAGAGAAAAAACAAATTATGGGATTCAGTCGTCTTAGAGGAATTGTAAAGAAGTTTTCTAAATATTTCATGTGTATCAGGGACACTCATAATATCAATTTGAACTATTTCAATTTTCAATAAGACATCTCTGGTTCCTGCAATTGCACTAAAACTAAGTGTTTTATTACATCACTAATCTCAAAGGGCCTTATGTGATAAAGCATATAAGCTTACATCCAACAAATAGTTTTAGTGGAATTCCAGAAACCACAGATGTCTGATTGACAATTGGAATGGTGCAAATTGATGCTATCAGTGTACCTGATACACATAAAGTATTTTAGAAAACCTCTTTACAGTCCCTTTAATGTCAGCAATGGCAGCTGACAGAGAACTCTTCCTTTTCTAATTTCAGAATGAAAATCCAACTAATTTGAGTTTGATTGTCGTCTGCTAGGTAATTCACTGTAAAAAATTCATGTTTTCATCAATACAAAATATTCCAAAAGGAGTCAACAGTCCAAACTATTTATAATTGGTAAATATTGATATATTGCAAATAAGTAGCCTATGATTCATAGATTGTGAATATGGGTCAAGATACCTTGGAAGCCAGGTAGTCTATAAAGGAAAAGTTAGGACAGGTATTATCCCGATTGATTTTGCTTCAAGTCCACATCTTTGAGATTTAAATTAGACTTTGAAATTCAAGTACATTATCAAATTTATTAAAATAAAAAAGGAATACAAATAAATGGATATGAAACTGCAAGTGCAATAAAAATGTAAACAAACCTTCCCTGGCCACTTTGTCAGCATCTATTACAGCAGAGCCCAATCTTCTAAACATTTCACTGACCGTCGATTTGCCAGAAGCTATGCCTCCCGTTAACCCAATTAAAAACATGATGGAAATTGAGTAGAAATTCGCTAAAAATTTAATTATTTCACAGGCCCCATTGATCGGATTAATTGGGTCAATGAACCAAAACAATAATGAGTTACTTCCCCTCCATAGTAGAACTTTGCTAAACTTAAGTAAACAGTGTGTCATTCATTTTTTTACCTTGTTTGCCTTAAACACATTTAAGACATGAAAAAATTTATTTGAATTAAAAATATGTTTTGTTTCAACTTTTTAAAAAAAAGTTTAAGTTTCTCAAATTTAACTTCAGCATACAAGATTAAATCAGCTTTTCTGAGAGCTGACACAAAAGTTAAGATGTAGCAAGGTGTAATTTAAAAATCCAAGATGTCAGCTCCCAGTAGTCATCATATTAGACAGAATGTTTGCGCAAACCGTCCAGCGTATAGAGATGGTCGACAACCTAAAGCAGTAAAGGTAATGGGTAGCTAAGATTTACTCTTCTGACCTATCAATAGATATTGAAGTGATCTAGTCGCTTAAGGTCAATTTCTTAGAATATCTGATTGGTGTCTCAAAATTGCCAACAAAAACACCAACTTGACCAAGCAAATGGCTTCATTGTAGGTGTTTCAGAACCAAAGAGATATGAATATCTTTTTGATAAAAGTAAAACAAATTTCAGAGTATCTGCACCCTGTTTAGAATATGTTTTATCAACAAATCAAAGCCCAGGATAAGCTGATATTCTGATAGTGCACAGAACAGGAAGCAATTGCTCTTTCTGCAGACATTTAACAACGCTTTGTCATTCTGTAAAATCTTGAAGGATTCAAAATAGTTGTTGACTCATACATGCATGATTTGTATGAGATTTTTTTCAAATACAGTGTTGCCTGTGTTTGTCACAATATTTCTAATGGTTTCAATCTGTTATGTATTCAATATCTTATCTATTATATTGTAATATTTTCAGGTGTATACAGTGGCTCAAGAATCATGTTATTTATTGATACAAGGTGTTCAAGCAGTAGGAGCTCATACTGATTTAAATACTCTCTGTTCTGGGTTTGGGGTCCTCAAATCTTTCCAAGCTCTAGATGACTATCCTAGTGAACAATTTACAGAAGTTTATTTGGTCCAATATGAACGAATACAATCAGCAAGGTAGTGGATTTGACTCATTTTGACCTTTTGAGATTGTCACGATATTATGCTTGGGATTGACGAGTGTATGTTATCAGGCAATTGCGGCAAAAATTTCCCTGTACGCATTTCTTAAACCAACTGGTCTTGATACTGATATCATGTGACATTCAGAATGGCTGCCTCTGCCATTGTGTAGGAATCACGTGATCGTGATACATGCTATAAAGTATTTGCTATGTGTGCCCCTTCATGGTTGAGCATAAGAATGTGCTGACGATTTGAACTGACATGATCAGGTGAAAAAATGTTATTGTGTGTCCCTAGTTTTAATTTAGAAATATTATAATTTTAGAATTTTGGTTTTACTTATTCAGTCAATTTTTTTAATGAAAATTTTGGATTTTCAGTTGTAATTTTTAGATTTTCTGATTTTGTTGTTGATTGAATTTAGATATGCCAAGAGAAAAATGGATGATATGTCGTTTTTTGGAGGAGTTCTGCATGTTTGTTATGCTCCAGAATTTGAATCTGTACAAGAAACAAGAGAGAAATTACAAGATAGAAGAAGACAGGTTGCTGCTAAAATCAGGCAAAATGGTGAGCATTGATTTTGTTCATCTCGAAACTTGTATGATTTCAAGGATTCTGTCAATAATTGCCTATATTCGAAACGGTTTTGACAATCCATTGTTCTGCTTTGAATTCTTTTAAAATTCATCAATCTTTATCACACAACAGTACTGTTATCAAGTCTATAAAACAGGTTCACAAAAACAATATAAACTCGTGGCACAGGTTAATAACTATGCAAATTAGGTCATATATTAATGCTCCATGTAAACAGAACAACATGGCAAAAAGGTGGACCTCAAAATGAAAGCCCTATATAGAAAAAGTGCAAGGAATTTAAGGAAACTGTGTGTTTATTGATAGTTGTGATATTTCACTTGTGCTTATGTAATATGAAATTTATCAAAGAGTTGCTGGATTTCATGCAACGAAATTTCATATAACATAAGCACTCGTTTAAGATCCTCTATATATGCCCTGGTAGCTGAAGCTGATAATCTGTTAATGTTTTAGTTGAATTTACTTCTGGAATGTGATACGGATGGCTACAACTGAGGCCTTACAGTTTATAAAAAATGTACTTAGATGAATATATTGTGCGTTTTTTTGGGTTTTTCAGAAAAAGAAAGAGGTCCTTCCAAAACCATTGTAGAAGATCTTCAAAATCAACTTGAAAAATTGGAACAAAATTATCCCAATTCTAGCAATAATGTACAAAGGAGTGTCCACAATCATAAAAGCACTCTAAAAGACGGTCAAAACACAGTTTTGCGTGCAATTGCAACATCTGAAGTTTCTCAGCACGAGCAAAGAGTACCACCACTTCTCAACTACACTGATCCTCATAGTGATTTGTCAACAGAATTTCATTTGCCCAATTTTTCAATCCCACCACCACCTCAATATGGGATACACCCTCATTATGCTCCGAGACATCACCAAGGTTACGGCTTTGCTAATGTTCCTAGTGCTCACGCCACGTTACCCATGTATTTCGATGAACGACTATGTGACAATCACTCCAGAGATTCGGAATTGAAGCAAAAAATTTCAAAAGACGACTTGCAAGAAAAAACTAAATCGGTGTCAGAATCTCATAAGATAGTCAAAGGACTGGTAGTAAAAGACTATAAATCTAATCATCCAGTACCAAAGTTTGTTCCCCGACAAGCTACTAAGAACATTAACAAGCCAGATACAACTTCCAAGGTGAAGGACACTGATAAATTCAATAAAGAGATACGAAAGAATGCTTTTACCTTGGGAGAACCCCAAGGTCCTGAGAAACCAGTTGATCTTAAGTCTCAGAGTTTAGATATAACTAGAGAAGCGGTTGTTTCTGTGAACTCTTCAGTGAAAGAGATTAGAAAGCAAGTTGCCAAGGTAATATTTCAACTAATTTTTTTTTTGTAAGATATTTTCGCATGTTAATTTACTTCATGACCAGTCAAATAGAAAAGATTTTATGTACTCTTATTAAATTTTCTTCTTATCAACATTTAGATTCAATATCTGTTTTGCATTAGTTAATCTATGTATTTTTTTTAAAGTTTTCCAGTGATCCTCCTTTAAAGAAGAAGAAAAAGATCCAGTGAACTGTATTTTATTTGTTGACCGGTTGAGTGCACATCAGCCACAAGAGCACATAGGGGATGTCCTATCTGTGGCAGTTGACTGGGTGGGATGTCCTATCTGTGGCAAACAGACAGGGGGGCAGAGAAAATGTCCTATCTGTGGCAAACAGAGGGTGAAAAATTGCCTTTCTGTGGCAAAAAGACAGGCGAAAGATTGTCCTATTTGTGGCTGACAGGGGGAAAAATTGCCTATCTGTGGCAACTACTCAGGGGGAAAAATATCCTACCTGTGGCAGACAGGAGGAAGGGGGAAAATGTCCTATCCATGGCAAACAGACAGGGGGGAAAATGGCCTATCTGTGGCAGACAGGGCGAAGGGGGAAAAATGGCTTATCTGTGGCAACTATCCTCTCTGTGGAAGACAGGGCGAAGGGGGAAAATGTCCTATCTGTGCCCAACAGACAGGGGAAAATATCCTATTTATGGCAAGCTGTCAGGGGGGAAAAATGGCCTATCTGTGGCAAAAAGACAGGGGGAAAAATTGTCCTATCTATGGCAAACTGACGGGGAAAAATTGTCCTATCTATGGCAAACTGACAGGGGGAAAAGTCCTATCTATGACAAACTGACGGGGGGGACTGTCCTGTCTTTGGCCAACTAACAGGGGAGAAAAATGGCCTATCTGTGGCAAAAGGACGGGGAAAATTGTCCTAGTTGTGGCCAAAAGACAGGGAAAAAGGGCCTAACTGTGGCAGACAACGCAAAGGGGGAAAAGACCGGGAGGAGGGAAAAAATGTCCTATCTATGGCAAACTGACAGGGGGAAAAAGTCCTATCTTTGGCAACCAGACAGGGAG